ATTCAAAATTCTAAAAATAAATATAACAATAACTACTTTTAAAAATAAATAAATAAAAAAATATAATTAAATTATTCAAAACACAACCCAATTTTTATATATCAAATTATGCCAAATTTGTTACTTTTCTTTTTTTTTTCTCTAAATAAATCACAATCATATTTACTAGTTCATTTGAATTTGGATTTGATTATAATTTGTTAAATTCTAATTTTTTTTAAGCATACCAGCATGCTTAACGAATCATAATTCTATTTGATGCCAAACTTTGGTAATATTCCCTACTTGAATCCAATTAGGGTTGGCAAAACGGGCCAACCCAACCCGCATTCAACCCGAAAAAAAGAGACGAGTTAGGGTTGACTCGAAAAAAAACGAGCCAGAAAATCCAACCCGACCCGACCCGAGTGGGGTTAGGGTTGACTCGCGGGTTGGCTAAAAAATATGGCTCGTGGGTTGGCTTGAAAAAATAGCTCGCGAGTTGGCTCAAATATTGACTCGCGGGTTGGCTCATTTTTAGCCTTTTTAAATGACCCTGTAGTATTAATGCACCAGCTATGTGACTTCCATTAGCTTAAACAAAGGGTTACAAAATGAGAAATAAAAGCAAAATATTTTAGTTTCAAATTTTCTTCACAACAAATTTGCATCAACATCTAGAAACAATCAGAACCACTTGCTACCAAGTGGGTAAGATATTTGAACCAAACAGAGCCAGCACAGCCTAACAATATAAAAATGGGTGAGAAGCTTAGGGACTTAAGTTTAGAGAAGGAAGAAAAATGATGACAACATGTGTGACTTTTGTCCATTTTTGTATATTATATTTTGTATTTCTTTATATAAAAAAAAAACTCAACCCGCGAGCTGGCTCGTTTGACCGGCGAGTTGGCTCGTTTTTTCACGGGTTGAAACGAGCCGGGTTGGCTCGGGTTGATAGCTCATTTTTGCCAACCCAACCCGGCTCATTTTGGGCGGGTTACGAGCCAACCTGACGGGTTAGCTTGTTTTTGCCAACCCTAAATCCAGTGCTCAAATTGGATATTTGAATATAGGAAAAATTTCATTTTCACCATCCACTATGATTTTATAATTTATCACTTGACCTATTATGATTATAAACTTGTCACTTAGATTTATTGTACTCAAATAATTTATCATTTAATCTTCTGTGATTTAAATTTTTACTTACACTCTTTGTGGTTACAAAAGTATATTACTTAGACCTCTTGTGGTCTTAAAAATATAAAAGTATTTACTTTTTCTAAATTTTATTTATATAATTTAATATTGTCGAATAAAATCTAATAAAATTAATAATTAAATATTAAATCAAAAAATATTTCAAGTTATTTATTTTGAAATTAATTTTTCAATTATCTTATTTTTTTATTTCTTTTAAAAATATATTTAAAAATTAAAAAAAATATTATTTAAGATAAATTAAATATATATTATCGATGTATTAAAAAAATGTATTATCAAAATAAGATATTTACTTTATTTAAATAATTTTATAATGATATTAGGTAAATTATAGATAAAATAAAATAATATTTTATTTGAATTTATTTTCATGATAAAAATAAGTGAATTTTTTAAAAATTTATTTTTATTTATTTGCCTTAAATGTAGTAGATGAGGATATAAATAAAAAAGAGAAAAATAAAAAAATTATATGTATAAAAATATAAGGATATAAGTGATATTATTTATAAACACTTATATTAATAATTAAAATTAATTTAAATTTAAATAAATAATTTACATTTTGCATACATAATTTTAATTTATAATATGATAATAGTAAAAGATAAAAGTTGAGAAAATAAAAAATAAAAAATGTATATATAAGACCTCAAGGGTATAAGTGATATATTTTTATAATCACAATAAGTATAAATAAAAATTTAAAACTACATGAGATTAAATGATGAATCATAAAATCATGATGGATGAAAATGAAGTTTTCCCTTGAATATATCCTAAAAATTAAATTGATGTTGTGATTGTTATAAGCACACGCTCTAAACAACGCACAGAACGAAGTATGTGCATTGTAATAATTACATTCTTTTACAATTAATATGAAAATAGAAATAGGGGCTTATTGTGCAAAAGCCGAAGAGATAATTCAAAATATTTCACTCAAAATTTGAAGAGGATATGGAAAATAAAAATGCGATAGGGAAATTGGCTAAGACCAAATGTATACTATCATATTAATTAATAGAATATATATATACACACACAAAAATAGTGTTTTTTCCAAAAGTTATTAGGAGATAGCCGCTATCTAATGAAATAAAAGGGTTATATAAAAAAATAAAAATAAAAATAAAAGGGAGAATGTGCATTTACTCTCCATTTCGATTTTCTTCTCATTCCTTGAAAGTTGAAATCATAGAGGAACAAGATTTTTAATGCTAATTTTTCTGTGTATTTCCTCACTGATTCGTTATATACATAATATCGAGGATAGAAATTGTAATCCGTTGTAGTTTCTGTTTTGGCTATAGTGCCCTAGGAACATCCCGGGCGCTGACGAGGGCGGCGAGTGATCGCCGGTGCGAAAGGGCATGGACAAGGAGCGGCTCTTGGCAGGCTTCTAGGGACGGGGGTACATGAATGAATCGAATCCACACCCGAAAGAGAGGGATTCCAGAGACTGTGCTGGTATGAGACGGTATAGTTGGGAATGGCTTATAAGAATTAATTGGTACTACCTATACTAACAACATGCATCTGCTTTTCGGTAGCCCAGAACGGAAGAACTCCACAGTTAAGCGTGCTTGACTTGGAGCAATTCTGGGATGGGTGACCTCCTGGGAAGTTTTCTCAGGAAGTGTGCGAGTGAGAAAAAAGCACACTGAAAAGTCTCGTGTTAGTATGTGGGGATAGTCGTTGATTCTTGAAGCGGCCGGACGTTACAGATGCAAAAATAAAAAGAAAGACATTTTGAATAGTTGAACAACTTTTGGTTCATAATTTTTTAAAGTATTTCTGGTTTCTGCTGTTGTTGTAGATGAGAAAAATTATAGCAAATATATTTACACTAGGATACGAAACTGGATCTTAAAATAATAATAAAAAAATTCCAAAATATAGATCCGAATCTGGATCTGATTGTGAAAATAAATGTCATTGTAAATTTTTTGATATGCAACAATAGAGCTATTAAACCCTTTTTTAAATCATTTCAAAAATAAATGGTCATTTAGTTTAAGTCAATTTGGACTATCTAGAATCATCGGTAGTTATGTTAAAGTGAAGGTGGCGTAGGGTGGGACCAAGTGCCAATTATGATATTCTAACGCTTCATTTATGAAACTGGTTTTGCGGTGCAATCAGATCAAATTTGCTCGCTAAACTTAGGGAACTAGTGATATGTAAAGCGCTTTAATGACATTTATTTCCATTTACTTTTTGTTATGGGAGTTCAAAATAATGTATTGTTGAGTAGATATTTAAAATAAATAATCCTTCATTCAAAATTTGAAGGTAAAAGTGCTTAGAACTTTAGTAAAATATTATTTTAATGTTCTATTCATTTTCAACACCCAAGGGTCTGGTAAGGGTTTCTGAGTCTTATGACGCACAAAAGATTCCTCGCACGTGATAGCTAAAGCATACACGTTAGCAAAAATATTTTTTTATTAATGATCTTTCAATTTTTATATAATATTATTTTATTTTTAATTAATATGAATTCCACACAAGACGTGCTTATAATATCAGAATTTTTTTTTCCTATTACATGAATAAATTGAAACCCATGTTATATTTACTTTAATTTTTCTTTTTCGAGGTAGGATATTCATATTATCATTTTTTTAACTACAACCTCATTATCACTTTAATCACCATTGAATTTAAAAGTTATTTTCCTTTTTTCTTCTCTTTATTTAAATTTTCTTTTAATCTAATGATAATTAAAGTGATAGTGTATAATAATAAAAAAAATGGTAATATAGATATTCTCCCTCTTCTTTTCCAATGTAAAGGTTAATTGAAAAAGATAAGTAATAATTTATCTCATTTTTTAAAAGAATTTTTTTTTTTTCAGAAATTTTTTCTATACCATATTAATATAAAGTAAGTGACTTTACTAATTTTTTTGTATAACAGTACTCATTCACTTTTAACATGAGTGTGAGAAAAAAATAATTCGAGAGATTATTTGGGCTTATAAAAAAAGTAATTTTTATTTTTTCCTTATTTTAGAAGTGTTTTTAATAAAAGTCAAAGTTATTTATATTTTTATAAAAATATTTAACTTTTGACTTTTGCTTTTTTTCAGAAGTTAAAACTTTTAACTTCTGGAAAAAGTAAGTTTTTGATTTTTTTTTATAATTTCTACTTTTTTTAAAAACAAATATCCAAATGAATTATTAACGAGAAGTATTTTTTTTAAAAAAAAAAATAACTTTTTAAAAAAAAAACTCATCTAAACGAACTCAAAAAAATAGCTTAAAAAAAAAAAAAACTTATCTAAACGGACTCTAAATCTTCTCATCTAATTTTTCGTTTTACCGCCCCTACCTTTTTCGTAGGGCAATTTGTTCAAACACTGTATAAAAGCAATACTCATTGACGCAGAGTGCATACATACATAAATACTCCCATTCCCATCCCAAGATATAGAAAAAATTGCATCCCTGCACAGTGCACAGTACACAGTACAAGTGATTCAAATTCAAATTACAAGCTCGCGATTTAAAAGGTACTTTTTACTTTTGTTTTAACAAAATTATACTGTAACAGGAAAAAGAGTCAGTGGAGTGTGTACTATACTACATTACACTTACACACATCATCATGCTGAGGCCTGAGGCTAAAAAACAAAAGTGACAGCAAAAGTGTCAAGAAATCTTGACTTTCTCAATCCTTCACTCCTAAGTTTTGACTCCTTAAAGAGCAAGTATTATTATTATTATTATTCAATTCTTCTTCTGGGTTTTTTATTTTTTTCATCTTCCTTAGGGTAATTTTATCTTTCTGGAAGTTGAATTCAGATATATCAAAGAATCCATGGAAGAAGCCCTCACAATGGCTATAGATGCTGATCAGCAACAGATTACCCCTGACACTCTTCCATTTGCAAGAAGGTGAGTTTTTATTTATGATCTGAAATTAACCCTCCTTTGTTGTGTTAAGTTGCATGCGTTGTTGTGTTGTTCTTTCTCATTGATGTTGGGTTGATTTTTTTAATGTAGCTATCAACTTGAAGCATTGGACAAAGCAATCCGTGAAAATACTATAGTGTACTTGGAGACTGGTTCGGGGAAAACTTTGATAGCGATAATGCTTCTTCGTAGTTATGCTTATTATCTGCGGAAGCCTTCTTCTTTCATTGCAGTGTTCTTAGTTCCCAAAGTTGTCTTGGTCAAACAAGTGTGTACTTTTTGAGATTTTGCTTATCTTGAATGCGCTGATTTTCAAATTATGTAATTGATTTATTGTGCTTTTTCCCGTATATGTCTTTTCCTTCTTTGTTATTTACTTGTGAAATTTTAGCAAGCTGAAGCCTTACAAATGCACACGGATTTAAGAGTGGGCATGTATTGGGGAGAGATGGGTGTTGACTTCTGGAATGGTACTATATGGCAACAAGAAACAGATAAACACGAGGTGATCTTTTTTTGTATTTGTATCAGAACTAAATGATGCCCTTGTTATTTATAAGAATCTGCTTTAGGTAACCATAATCTATATGTTTGTGTTATGTGTGGCATTCCTGTTTTTTTCCCAGTTGGGTGATTGTTGTTTTCAGTTTCTAAACTTTATATGTTTGTATTATATTTTACCCCTCTTTGCATCCCCCACACCCTTCCAAAAGAACAAGAAATAGAACATTTTATTCATTGATTTTATTGATGGACTCAAAGTCTTTCTATATTACACAAGCATATAACAATTATTGGTTTAGTTGAAAATACCCAAGAAAAAAATTGAAAAAAAAAAACCAGTTCAAAGTTGAGTGCCCTCAAAGGAAAAGAGATTAGGGGAAAATCTCTTTCTTACCTCTATTCTGTGTCACCTTCCCATTGTTCCCTTTGGAATTTATTGCCATGTTGTCTCGTAGTTGTTTATTTTTTGGCATTTTCCTTTTTATTTGTAATTTTCTTTCCGGGTTAAAGCTTCTAGTTTACTTATAGATGGTTTCTAGCTTCAACCTTTGTGCTCAAATAAAATGGAAAAGAAACAATCACTTTCTGTTTTCTAATATTCAGTTGACCTGAATGTGGCATGCATCATTTGTTACTATTAGCACGACGCTTCTGAAATTTATCTTTCTATGCTGCATCGATAATATGTAGTTACTGTCAGTAATGCTTTTGAATGTATAGGTGCTTGTCATGACTCCTGCAATATTGCTTATGAGCTTGAGGCATGGCTTTCTCAAACTGGAAATGATAAAGGTTTTAATATTGGACGAATGCCATCATGCTAGGGGTAAAGACCCTTACGCTTGCATCATGGCTGTAAGTGTTGCACCCTTTCCACGGTTTTCTTTAAGCTTCCGTGTCTTTCAATTTCTTACTTTTTTTACTACAATAATATATATGAGTTGTATTATTTCCTCATTACTATGTGGTAATTTCCCTTCTTATTAAATTTTTTTTTTTTGGGGAAATGGGGGTAATACATCAAGGTCCAAAGACCTGGGATAGGGGCAAAATGGAGAACTGAACCCTCTACCATCAGGCTAGTCTTTAAATACTGGGTGGGGTGCCATTTGAGCTGCGGCTTATTGGCAACATTAAAATGTTTTGTTTCTTGTAAGTTTGTAAGAAGGCCATCCATATATGGGTCCTCTATTAGATAAGCAATAAAACAGTTCTTGTAAGAAGTTTGTTACAGTCTCGTATGTAGCATGCACTTATCCCCAGAAAAAAAACTAATGAAAAAGAGTTTTAGCTCCATTCATAAACTTGGTTGCAATACCTTATCACATAAAAGGCAGTCAACTTATGGTGACAATAAGCAAATGCATTTTCCAGAGCTAATATGAAAAGGGACTTGATGTTGACCATGGATTACATGAATGTAATAAGGTGGTGTATAGTACTGATGCATGCCTTATGAAAATTTATTGTACCATTGACCATCTTGCATCATTGAATGAGATTAAAATTTTAATTGGCGATATTGTTCCGTAGTATCTTGTTATTTCTAGTTATGTTTTATTTTGTTAGAGTTGTAATTGTTTGTGTTTGAGGACAATTACTATCATGTAGTAAGCTCTGATGTCCTTTCTATGCATCATCTACATCATGTATTGTGTTAAAAATATAATATAATATAAAATATAAAACCATTCACGTGTCTTCGCTTAGTGTTAGAGAATAATATAAACCATTAAAAAGAATTTCACCCAACACCTTAAGGTTTTGGGTTGAATTGGTTCTTTACTCTTAGCTACTTAAGCTTTTGGGAAAGTTGGTTGCGTGACAGTGTTAGACTATTAGGGCCTCTATAACTAAGTGATTTAGGGTTGGATCCTTCCCTTCCCATCTAATGAATATTGTGGTATTTCTTAGCACAGGGTTGGTGGGTCTATACATTTGTCCACCCTTCAATTCCAATTGAGTCTTGCGTGATGTGGTGTTAGAAATATAATATAATATAAAATATAAAACTATTCAAGTGTCTTCACATAACAGCTTAAGCTTTTGAGAGTATTGGTTCATGACATATAGTAAGCTGTCGTATCCTTTTCGTGTTGTGCTATTAGTTGTTACTTTTACTAGATTTGTTACTTTTATTAGATTTGATTACATGCAGGAGTTCTATCATCCCAAATTAAAATCTGGTATCTCTGACCTCCCTCGAATTTTTGGGATGACTGCATCTCCAGTTAAGTCAAAAGGTATACAAGCCTAGAGAAAGTTTCTATTTATCTCTTTGCATTGCTAGTTTTTTTCCTACTTTATTTGGTGCTGTCAATTATTCTCTGATGTTGAATTTACTTTTTCTTCTCTATTATTATTTGATCCAGTTGGAAATTCTGAAGGGACCTTGTCCAAAGAAATTCAGAAACTAACCACTCTATTGCATTCAAAGGTTGCTTTTTATTTTCTCCCCCGTTTTTCTTCCTTTCTTCTTTCTATCATGTTATTGTGTTCCGTGGCAATATGTAACCTCCTTATCTTCTTGGTATAAATGTATAAGCTTTATTGATTTGAAATTTACCATACGTAGATACATTAGAAACTATTGATAGGGTCGATGCTATGAACGTTAACATGCCCAGATGTATGGGAACTTATCCCTTTTCTAGAAAGTTTTTATTTGAGAGTGTGGTTCGAATAATTTATTCTTATGTGACTAATATCTTTTGTATTGAAGGGAAATTTAGTATTACCATTTGGTCTTTTAAAGCATTATTTATTTGACGTAATGTTTTGAATTGAAGGTATATACTTGTGTAAGTGAAGCTGTAATTGCAGAGTTCATACCAATCTCGACCCCTATATTCAAGTTTTATAAGGATAGCGGGATTCACTTTATGTTATTTGAAGAATTAGCAGTTAAGCTCAAGATGTTAAAAGAGCAGGTGTGTACATTTAAGGAGATCAATTTTTTGTGTATGCCCTGAAACAGTTAGGAAAATAAAAAATTCTGATGTACTCATTTATTAGTCAGAATCACTTTCTTCTCTGTTTGAGCTACTCTACAAATTCTGCATTTTTTTATCACGTCTTAGTTGATTATTTCCTTGAGGTTATTGACAATGGATATTCTGTTCCTCAGCATGAACTCTCCCTCAGTTCAGATTTCACAGAATTAGCTGCTGAGTCTGCACGCAAAAGAATAACAAAGATTTTTTCTGGTTTAATATTTTGCTTGGATGAGCTTGGTATTTGGTTGGCTTTGAAGGTTCTTTCCCTTCTCCTGCGGTGATTTCATGGCTTTGATGTATATTCATGTTTGCATAATTGACATCAATTGTTTGTTTGTGCGACAGGCTGCAGAGTCCTTATCTTCCAATGAAATTGAATCATTTTCATGGGGTAAATCTGGTGATAAAGTTGTTAAAAAATTTAGCTTGGCTACTGTGCGGACACTGACATCTTACATGCCATCTGGTAATCGCTCTACATTTATTGAGAGAATCAGTGAAAATTTCTAAATAAATCCTTTTTTTTTTTGCATTCTTTAATAAATGTTTTAAAAATGTTTTCCTATTCAGGTTGTCAGTGGTCTATTGGTGACAACATTAAATCTGATGTGGATATGGGGCTGTTAACCTCCAAAGTTTGTTGTCTTATTGACTCTCTACTTCAGTACAGGTTATCATTATTGATATGTTTCTTTCATAATATTTCAAATGTGATTTTGAAATCATGTATGTGGTTTATATCATGGATGCGTCTGACCTCTTGGCTTTCCTTTTCCCTATTTGACTGTATAAGGTTCTTATTGGATGTGTGCATACCTTTATGGTTGGTCATTTAAAGTTAACTCTCATCTTTCTCCTTTATTAATCAATACTATTTATTCCTCACCTCTGTTTAGGGGTGTTCATAGGATGAGTTTAACTTGACTCAGATCCCAATACTTTCTAGGGCTAATGTTGTGGAGCTGGACCCAGCCTGATCATGTCCCAACTAATGATTGGGACAGGACCATGTTGAGTCTACAAATTAGGACATTACGAATAGCAAATTTTAAAGGTGGGGAACTAAAACTAATAGACGATTTATAATATGTTTTAAAATAAATCATATCAAATACAAATATATATTAACATATTATGCAAAGGTATTAAATTTAAGTTGGGAAATTTTACTATTTATCACTAATTGTCATAATAATTATCAGTTTTAAAATGCGAGACATATTAGGAAACTTTAAGCTTGTCCTGAACCTGACCTGAAAATACATTGGGTCTAATTTCTAGAACCTGAACGTGTCCCCATTAACTTTGGGATGGAATAAGTTATTTGGTAGGGATGGGTCTTCAATACCTCCTACCTTTGGTTGATGCCTTCACAGTGATCTTGCATTCTGACATTATATGTGAAAGTCCAATTGTTGTTTTCTTCTTTTCTAAAATGAATAAAATTTATTTCAACTAATCGATCAAAAATTTATGTGTGTTTTGATTGTATGTATTGATTTTTGGGAAAAGTTCACCAATGCCCCTGTGGTTTGCTTCAGAATCACCTATGCCCCTGTAGTTTTTTTTTTTTATCACATATGCCCCTGTGCTTTGTAAAAAATAAAAAACCACAGGGGCATATGTGATAAAAAACATACCCTTTTGCAAACCACAAGGGCATATGTGATAGAAAAAAAACCACAGGGGCATATGTGATAGAAAAAAAACCACAGGGGCATAGGTAATTCTGAAACAAACCACAGGGGCATTGGTGAACTTTTCCCTTGATTTTTTTATGTTATTATGATTATTATTAAATCTATTTTGATGGATCTACTATGTATACCACAATTACAGGGGTTTGACTGACATGAGATGCATAGTTTTTGTGGAAAGGGTCCTTACAGCCATTGTTCTTCAGGCTCTATTGAATGCCTTGCTTCCAAAATACAATGATTGGAAGACTAAATTCATTGCAGGATACAATTTTGGATTGCAAAATCAATCAAGGAATAGGCAAAATGAAATTGTGGAAGAATTTCGTGTGGGATTGGTTTGTCCCTTTCTTAAATAATCCACTGTATTGTAATAAATAAACAGTTTCTTATTAAGGAAATATTTTGATATGCAGGTCAACATCATTGTAGCAACTTCGATTCTTGAAGAGGGTTTAGATGTTCAAAATTGCAATTTGGTCATTAGATTTGACCCATCTCCCACGGTGTGTAGTTTCATACAGTCGCGAGGCCGTGCCAGAATGCAAAATTCAGATTACATATTAATGGTTAAGAGGTAATTTCTTTTTGTGTTAAACTTAGACAAGTGCTAATTAGCATGCTGCAGAGAGACAAAATTATAGCATCAAATTTATGCGTTCTACAAGTTGAAATATATTTTGCCCAATTGACTTCCTTATTTTGTTCTGAAATTACAGTGGGGATTCAGTTACACGTTCTCGACTAGAGAAATTCCTTGCTAGTGGGGATATTATGAGGAAGGAGTCCTTGCACCATTCTTCCCTTCCGGGTGATCCTTTTGAAAGTGATGAATTTAATGAGGAAGCTTATCGCGTTCCAAGCACTGGAGCCATTGCCAATCTTAGTTCTAGCATTGGTTTGATATACTTGTATTGCTCACGGCTCCCTGCAGATGGGTTAGTTAGTTCATTGCTGCTCTTATTGCATGTTAAATTTTCTTCCTTCATTTTAATGAACCTAAGTTATGCTTTCTTGATGCTATTGCATTTTGCATCAATCTGGCTCTTTTGGTTTGATTTTTACCTGTTCCCCAATCTCAATTATTCATTCCGTTGGATGAAACTCTCAGGTACTTTAAACCAACTCCAAGGTGGGACAAAGTGTCTGGGACATTATATCTTCCCAAGAGCTGCCCGCTACAGCCTATTACTGTACAAGGTGACAAAAAAGTCTTAAAGAATATTGCATGCCTTGAAGCATGCAAACAACTTCATAAAATTGGAGCTTTGACGGATAATCTTGTTCCTGATATTGTCGTTGAAGAGAAAGAGGTGGAGGAATTTGGTAACTTCTCTATTCATTTCTCCTTCTTTTTCTGTCTTTTATTCTAAATATTATTACTTTTAAGCAAATGCTTATCCATATATTTCTTTGATGGCTTCAAAATCAATCTAATTCTTTCAGGGGATGAACCTTACAATGAGGAGCAACCAAGTTATATACCATTTGAATTGGTGAATAGCTTGACAAACAATAGTAATGCAATCTACTATTGTTATTTAATGGAGTTAAAACAAAATTTTAGCTATCATTCCTCTGTTCAAGACATTTTTCTTGCAGTGAGAAGTGAGCTTGATCCAGAAATTGGATGCATGCAATTTGATATGTGTTTTGACAGAGGTAGCTTGTCAGTAAACTTGAGATACAAAGGAACCATTAGTCTTTCCCCAGATCAGGTATGCTGTCGAGTACTCCTTTAATTGTATGTGGCATGCAAGTGTTAGGAAAAGTCAATGCAGTTATTGTTTGTTTGTTCTTATTTTTCAGGTTCTTTTGTGTAAAAGATTTCAGGTTACCATCCTTAGAATTCTTGTAGACAATAACATGGATAAGTTGGCAACTGCTGTGCCTGTAGACAAATACTGTGATCTTGAGATTGATTATCTTCTGCTTCCAGCGAGAAGACAAGTTGTTGATTGGTTATGTATTTCTTCTGTAAATCCATCTAATTTCACATGCGATTATCATGCACGCAATATATCGACAAAAAATGGTCCTGTTTGTACTTGCGTACTGAAAAATGCTTTGGTTTGTACTCCTCACAATGGTAATGTTTATATCACCACTGATATAATGAATTTGCATGGAAACTCGCTTCTAGAACTAAGGCATGGTGAACTTACTACATACAAGAAGTACTTTGAAAAGAAGTAAGTAATTGTTTGTGGTTGATATTTATTCTTAGGCTCGTTCATCTACTAGGGCATATTCTTATTATCTATCTTTTTCTAAATTTCAGGCATGGTATTCAATTGCAATTTGAACATCAACTGCTACTTAAAGCAAGACACATGTTTCAAGTTAAAAATTACTGTAACGGGTGCAGACAAGCGAATGATAGAGGTTTAATCATTAATTTTCCAAGTTGTTTCTTTTGTTGCTTACTCTTGGTGATAGGTGGGATCCTAGGAGGTTGATTATACCCATGAATCAAAATTTAGGTTTGCTATATAACCAATATTAATATGAATTGGAATTTTCTGAATGTATTCCTGCTGTTGGATGCCCTCTGATTATTATTGAAAGGAAATCAGATCCATTATTGTTCTTATTTCTTCTGAACTGTCTTTTGGGTTTGGAACTATTAAAATGGCCTTTGCCCTCCTCGTGTGAAGCACAGAACTTTTGTTTTTAAGGTTGTTACCTCTGTATTAGCTTGCTTGTTTCCGGGTGCTAAAGTTATAATCAACTTATGAAAATGATTTGTATTAGTTGTGACTGCTTCTATAAACTAGAATTTGGTTAGCAGTTTATGTTGCCTGAATTTAATCTTTTTGAAATTATAGTTGTACTTACTATGTGCCAAAAAGGTTGCTGCTATATTTAGTGCCATTTGTCTCCAAGCTCTACCAAAATGTGATCAATCTGAACCCTAACTTTCTATTTTTCATTTTCAGAGGCAAGCAACATCTTTGTTGAATTACCTCCGGAACTGTGCTATATAATTATGTCACCATTATCGGATAGTACCATTTATTCCTTCTCATTTATTCCATCAATCATGCATAGACTTGAGTCTTTGCTTGGAGCTTTCAATCTAAAAAAGATGCATTTGGATCGTTCCATGCAAAATGAGATTCAAACAACAAAGGTAGGCTGCCTCATCATTAAGATGCAGTTAAGTTTTTTTTTTCAGGAGAGACAATTTTATATCTTTCTGTTATCTATCCTTAATAGCCAAAAAAAGATGGAGAAACAATTGTGTTTTACTGTATGCTTCCCTAATTTATTAATATAGAAGTATTTCTGAAAGAAAAGTTCAGGTAGAAAACTGGGCATCTGGAAATAAAGAAAAAGTATTCCTTATGCCCTCCTTTTACCCTCTTTTGCCTCAGTCGTCAGCCAATACACAATGAAAGATTGAGAAGAAACATGTCAGCGTTGAACTTTCTGTGATGCCATTTTTGGATTAATTTGTCTTGGTGTCTTCTGAGTGTGTGGATTTTTTTTTTTTCAACAGTTGTGTTCTTGAAATATTTTAAAGATTTTTTCTCAGATGGCATATGCATTTTGCATTGTAGGTCTTGGAAGCAATTACTACAAAGAAATGCAAAGAGACCTTTCATTATGAGTCTTTAGAGACTCTTGGTGATTCTTTTTTAAAATATGTCATCAGTCAACAACTTTTTAAAATATATCAAAATCACCATGAAGGTCTCCTTAGTCTGAAGAGGGAAAAAATAATTTCTAATGCTGCCCTCAGTAAGTTCGGGTGCAGTTGTGGACTTCCGGTACTCTCTCTCTCCCCCCCCCCCCCCCCCCCCCCTTTTTGTTACTGTTAATTTGTATGCTCTGCATCTATTATGTTGCTGTGTGTCATCATTTTCCATATCTACGCCAAGATTTCATTGGATGTTTAATCTGTATTCTGGTTTAGAAGTACTATTTCTTCACATACGTGGTTGATTTCTCAATCTGTAGCATTGAGCATTCTTCTTTTAAATGGTGTATAAGAAGAATATGATTTCTGATATAATGACAAAAAGTAATAAACAGTGGTTCAACCAGTTGATGCTTCTTTTTGAAGTTTGATAAAGATTATAATTTTGAATCAGTTGACCGATTAGAACTGTTCGGCTGATTGTCATATGTGTACAAATTTTTTGAATCAAATTGAGAAGTTTACACTTGTAAAGAACTAATTCAACCCAAAAGCTTAAGCTGTTGGGTGAGGCTATATTAATGATTTTATATATCTCAACACGCCCCCTCACACGAGAACCCATTAGACTTGAAGGGTGGACGATGCACAGACCCACCTACCTGTGCGAACAAAGAAATACCACTTGAAAGAAAGTGGGGGGCGGCGAGGATCGAACCCGGGACACGAGGCTCTGATACCATGTAAAGAACCAATTCAACCCAAAAGCTTAAGCTGTTGGGTGAGGCTATATTAATAATTTTATATATCTCAACAACACTCTTTACTACGAGTAATATGTCTTCTAAATTGTAATACTTATGCCATGAGGTTTGGATTGTATTGCTTCCTATTCCGTGAATCCATTCTTAGCTGAATTGTTGAGTTCCTAGAATTCTGCGTTATCATGTTGAAACTGTACTTGGTTTCTATTTGCTGAAAATGTTTTAATTATTTTTTATTGAACTACTATTCTTTTGAGTTGCAGGGCTTCATACGAAATGCGCCTTTTAATCCAAAAACTTGGATCATTCCTGGTGATAAATCTGGAAGTTTTAAATTAGAAGAGTTGGCTTCCAAAGAGACAAAAATTTATGTTGGGGAAAAAAGAAAATTAAAACAGAAGATTGTTGCTGATGTTGTTGAGGCGCTAATTGGTGCTTTCCTTAGCACTGGTGGTGAAAAAGCTGCATTGTTGTTTATGGATTGGATTGGTATTAAAGTGATTTTTAATATTATACCTACTGAGAGGCACTTTAATGTTAATCCGAAGAATCTGGTAAATGTCAGCTTTCTAGAATCTCTGTTAAAGTACTCATTCCGTGACGGTTCTCTTTTAGTGGAAGCACTGACCCATGGTTCTTACATGCTGCCTGAAGTTCCTAGATGTTATCAGGTACTTAATGTTGTTATTATTCATCATATGGAATCCACAAATTAGCATGTATGTATGTATCTATGAAAGGCAAAACTTTCGGTGACTCGTATTGACTAGCCTATCTTTTTTCAAGTCTTGACGGAACCCATAAAATAGTAATTGTACACATTCTTCTTCATGATCAATTAATTATGTTTTCCTTATATTCTAGTATTTTGTGTTTCTCTTTTATCACAATTTGTGATGATAAACTCCTTGCTCTGCAGCGACTAGAATTTCTTGGAGACTCAGTTTTGGATTATCTCATTACGGTGCATTTGTTCTATAAATATCCGGGCTTGACACCTGGGCAGTTAACTGACATGAGGGCAGCTTCTGTGAATAATGATTGTTATGCATGGTCTGCCATTAAGGCTGGGTTGCACAAACACGTACTCCATGCCTCGCAGGAACTACATAAGCATATTACTGTCACACTTAACCATTTTGAAAAGTTTTCTTTGTCATCAACTTTTGGATGGGAGTCTGAGGCATCATTTCCCAAGGTTAGTTTTTGCAATTTGGTTGATGGGTTCATTTGGTTTTTATCAAAGGGGTGTTTCTCTATGGGGGAAATGCTAATCTATATCATTGTTGTTTGTAAAGTATACAATTATGGGATAATGCTAATCTATATCATTACTGTCATAGTGGTGTTTTCACTTGGAAAAAGCTAATCTATACTATTGTTGTTTGTAAAGTGTACAAGTAAGGGTGGATTCACTCTTAAATTTTAGTGGATTAAGATTATGTACTACAAATTAAGTCAAGGGTGAATACACCCTTACTTTGGCACTTTGCAGATAATTCACTTTAAATTAGCTTTATCGCTGAGTATGTATAACTAAGGATCTCATTATTGTAGTGGATAAACATTAGAGCAAACACCGCCTTTAAGCGATGGGAGGGAACACAATCTACATTTCTGATTTTATTTTTTTATTTTTTTTATTTTTTTTGAGCAATGCTATTTGGTGTGGAAGTCTTTGTTCAAAAACTGTTATAAATGCCTAATAATATCCATTCATGATTTTTTGATACAACGGTGGCACTAAGGTTTGAATCAATGACCTCATGCAAATTACTCATATCCCTCACTATTAGACCAATCTTATTGATTTAACCATTCATGTTTTTTAGAGGAAAAAAAAGTTAAAAAGTAAACGGGTAACTGAAAAAAGGCAATAAATTCTTTACTTTTTTCAATTGGTAAGTTGTTTCATGAAAATCCATTTGTACAATTTAGCACTTTTTGTTTAGTTTTAGGGGCAGCACTGTTCTGGTTTTCAATTCCATATTTCTTGCAATCTTTGAGCCCTCACTTCTCTATCTTAAGGAGTAATTAGTTAGTACACTTAGTTTAGTACATCATTTCGAGAAATAGTAACCCATTTCATTGTTTTTGTGTTTGTTGAATTTGAATGTTAAAGGAGAAATTAGTTAGTACACTAGTGTATTACACCATTTTCAGAAATAGTAAATCGTTTCCTTGTTTTCAATGCCCACGTGCTGTGTTTTTTGAATTTGGATCTACTAGCTTTAAAAGCAAAGGAAAGGTAAATATTTATGGATATGGTGCAATAGTCAGCGATAAATAGGGTATACTGAATTATATCTTTGCAAAGAGGATCTTTGTTCTATGTCCTGATGTAAGTTGGGTTGATTGCTCAAATTTTTAATGGGAAAATTCAAAAAATTGAGCTCCTGATGAAAATATGAACAAGGAACGAGATATGGTGATTGTGAATAAATGTGGCGCTCTTTTCTTCTTTGTAAATATTGTGTGGAATTTTCATTTTGGTATTTTTCTTACTTTTTATTGTGGAATTGGTTAATAGTCAAGCAGGGTGGTGCAACCTGAGCGGACTGTTAATTTTGATCAAAATCTTATGCTTCTCCTATGTTAAAGAACCTTGTAAACATTATTCGACTGTCATATGTTTAAACAGCGTGTAACTGCTTTATCACCTCATTAGAGTCATTAGTTCTTTTTATTTTATTTTATTTTTTGGTAATAGAGTCATTAGTTCTTTGACAGAAGTTATAGATGCAATATAATGGTCAACTACGACGTATAAACTGTTACAAGTCTCATAAGATTGTTCCCATTGTTGACAGGTACTCGGAGACATTATAGAGTCTCTGGCTGGGGCAATTTTTGTTGATTCAGGATACAATAAGGAGGTTGTGTGGCAAAGCATAAAGCCTCTTTTGGAACCCCTTGTCACACCTTCAACCTTGAAGGCCCACCCAGTCAAAGAGCTAACCGAACTATGCCAAAAAAAGAATTATATTATGGAAAAACCTAAGGTGTCTTGCAGTGATGGTGTTACAACTTATAGAATCGAGGTACAAGCTAACGGGGTCTTACACAAGTATGAGTATAGTGGTTCTGCTGATAAGAAAACAGCTAAGAAGATAGCCTGCAAAGAAATTTTGAAGTCCTTGCGGTAAACACAATGTAAGTGTCTATGTGCTGGGTATGTGAATCATGTGTTGGGAATTGTATGTTTATATGTGAATCATTTGTTGGGAATTGTAAACGAGACTATGTAAATAACTATATATAAATGGAATGCTGATAAGTCCATGATATGTGACTTGGAACATGGGTTTAATGTTAAAATGAAAATGAAAAGAATATTTTGTGTATAAGATAAACTCCAAAATTGCATAAAAAATGAATGATTCTGATTGTAAGTGCTAATGGGCTGGTATTTGTATTTTTCAGGCCCAATTACTGACTTTCCGGCCCAATTACTGATTTTGTCCAAGCAAAGAATAGAAAGAAAAAAGAACAAAGAATTGGGCTGGAACCTTTACAACATAAATCAAAAGAGCCTAGAGCAAAAAAGAAAAAGAAAAGAATAAAGGAAAAAAAGAAAGAATGGGCCGATCCTTTGAGAAGGCTGATCAGAAGCCCAACTTGAAGAAAAGCAAAGCAAAGAAGGAAAGAAAAAAAAGAGAGACTCAGAAATGCAAAAAAACCAAAAGAGGCAAAACGTGCAAACCTTAACACCTACCGTGTGCACAAAATCTCTACCATCTAATCCTTATCCCACACCATCCCTCTTGACTAATCTTTCTACAATCGAACCCCCAAGCTAGACCGTCCCTTGTTTGCGGTCGAAAACCATCAAACCTTAGCCTCACCCACGGTTCATTGAGAACCAAACCAACCCACACTTGCAAAGAGACAAAATCCTAGCTGTCATCGGTATGAAGGACGAGCATGTGTGGAGCGGATTAAGGGTGCTGATCTCTTGGTGAGGCACATGAAAAGGAAGACTAATCAAGTTATGAAAAGAGAGAGACACGTGGATTCTGATCTAAGGGCTCATGTCGCTGCTGCTTGCAAGTAGTAGAAGATATAAAGAAGCTATGGGTAAAAGCTTGAGGAGGCGGCTTCTTCCTCTTTTTCATTTCTCTTTTTCCATTTTTTCTTTTACGCTTCTGGTACTGTAAATAGATGTTATTTTGTTTTGATTAGAACCTGTCAGTACAGTACCAAGACTATTCTGGTGAATAGGACTCGAATTGTGTTTTACGTTTTCTGCAATTTATTTTTCCTTTAATTTTCGTTTCATTTGTTGTTTGTATGCTCATCAACCTGTGGTGATGAGCTAATTTTTCTAGAGTTCGGTTGAAAGAGTACCCGGAACTCATTTGTTATTAGTTGTTGTTTTAATGTTTAAAGGTTAATTTCCAGTTTGTTTACTGTGTGTTTTTCATTCTGAGTTATTATGTGATGACCACACATAGGCTACTCCTAGTGATGTGAGATTATTGAGAAATAACTCACACTAGACCTCACTGTAAGCACATGGAAAGTTGAAAGATTTCTCTCAATGGGTATAGCTCCAAGGATGAAGTTACCCCCATGTAACTTAAGGAAATGGTGCTTCAAGGTCTTGTAATAACAGATACACAGGGATGTGTCATCTGTTATTTATGGTAAAAAAACTGTTGTTGGGAAACAATTGTTATATTCATATTTTTGTTAAACTGGGACTGTTGAAGAAAAGCAACATTTATTTTTCTGTCAAAGCAACTTAATAGCAAATGAGGGAAGGGGAAATTGATACCCAATTTGTTCTCAAACTCAGTTTTTAAATCAATTTTTGTCACTTGGTATTTTTGTCAAACCACAAGTTAAAGCTTCTGTTTTAAAACTTTAAGAGAAAATCATAATTTTTTTTTCAAGTCTTCCATTTAATTAATTTTCTAGTCAATACTATTTGAAAAAGAAAGTCCTCTCAAAAAAAAAAATATATATATTTTCCTTGCATTTAGTTTAGAATAGCAGTAGCATTTAATTTTATTTCATTTTATTTTTGGTTCTGATTAGTAATTACAATTTTATTCAAAGTAAAAAAAAAATGCCAAAGATCCTTGTGGGAACGATAACTCGGACTCACAAAAGTCTTATATTACTTGTTGTCGCGTATACTTGCGCGCTTACTTGCATAACTATTAGCAAGGCAACAAATGCCAACATATACTATTGAGTAAGAAAACACGAGTTAATTTTCTTTTGTATTTTTTCTCTGGGGTATTCTGATAGTGAAATTTAAAGGAAAATTTGAAAAGTAGGAATATTTAAAAAAAAAAAAAAGAATTATAAATTATTTATTAAAATAAAGGACAATAAATAAGAGATATGTAAAATGTTACGCGATATGTTTCTCATAATATTTCTGAACATTTTGAAAAATTCATAAACAGAGAAAATTGCTAACTCAAAATAAAATATTTTTCCTTAACTCCCTCCCCCCCCCCCCCCCCCCCCCCCCCCCCCCCCCCCCCCCCCAAATTCATGCATCCAAACATACCTAAAGTTCACAAATAAATGAAAACATCGCTGTGTATTAAAGTATTTATTACATAAATAAAATACAGTCAAGGTCAAGTGTTAATTAAAATAATTTCTAAACACTAATGCCTGATCTCTTTGTATTCTTCTATCATTTTTTTTTTAAAAAAAAAAAATGAAAGTTGTTCTCTTGCAATATCTTTAAGGTCATTTTGATTAATTTTGGCTTGACAAAACATTATCCAACTTTCTCTTTCTGCTTTTTTTTTCAATACCACCCAATTTGTTTGTGTTACTTTTTTTTATATTGTTAATTAAAATAAAAAACTTCTCCTTTATTTTATTTTTTTCCCCAAACTCTTGCATCCAAAAAATTTAAATTCCCAAAAGAATGAAAATATGGATATGCATTACATTACATTCAAGGTTATGTGCTAATTAAATATTTAGTATCATAATATTTATTGTCATAATAATTATTATAACATATTCAGATACCATAGAATAGACTGGATCAACTTCAAACATGATCTTGAGTAGGATATGATTGTTAGAAGTGTTGGTGTGGCAGCTTTTCTGCCACCAAGAGGTAGAAAAGCCCCATTACTCCAGTGTGCCTTTTGCTGTTGCTGTAGCCAACATCTAGAGTTAAAGTTTCACCATCAAATATCTTGATTGAACCTGGTGGAGGGTAACATGTGGACATTCCTACAACATAGCCTTTCTCATTTCCTGCTTCCTTTCCATTTCCATATCTTGCTATTGAAGAACATATAACCCTCCCATCCTGAAATTGTCACAGCCAAAATCTCAGTCAATAAGCCATACTCCAATATTCAATTAACATCTTACTATAATTTATAATATATTTTATATTTTAGCAGAGTACAAACATGTTATAATGTTTATGATCCTCAATTGAAAGCAATCACATTGAAAGACAAAAGGAACAAAGAGGTGCAAAATTAGAACCCCTTTTAATTTTAAGGGACACAACAGTACCATTTTCCAAGTTTAGTTTTTCTTTATGTACTTATGTCACTAGAAAGTAGTATGCAAATGTTTGGAGTGATGGTGTTATTTAAACATTACCTGTCCGTAAAGAGTTGATCCAGTTCCACCTGCATGTTGATGAGCAACACCATAGATGACATAACCTCCACTTGGCATTGGGAGGCTTGTTCTCTTGACATTAAGGCAACCCCTACCATCCTTATGGCCCTTGCTGCAAGGTTCAACTTGATACTCAACCTGTAGCAAAAAATCTCTATTACTCACTCAAATCCAACTAAATGACACTGGACTAGTATTATATATGTTTTGGGAAATACATGTGGAAAAATTTCTCCAAGAACCAAGAGTATATTCCATCATTGAATGAATCCATATAATATCAAAAGTTATGGCACTTTCCCGTATCTAATGATTTTATGTTACTTGAAGCATAAAAAAAAGTTTTCTTATATGTGTCTTGAGATTTAAGTTACCTGGCAATTGTGCTCTCGACTGATTCCTTTCAACTTATTTGATGATATCTTCAAAGTATCAGTCACATCGAAAATGTAAATCTTAAGAGGCACCACAAAGTTGTCCCAATTTATCCACTTTACTGTGTATTTCAGGTAGAGGCTTCGCTTTGGGCCTTGAAAGCCTTTCATTAACCTGCATTGGCCATTATCAGGACAACAATCCAACCCTCCTTTATAATCTGAACTCAAGGGCTTGCCATTTGAATCCTTCGTAACATTATAAAGATCACACCTACACTCATTGCACCCCATCCTATCTTGTACACCCCTTGTATCAATGACATGAACATTGATAAACCATTTCTCTTCATACCCGTATGGAATTTCTGAAGGATTACCTATTTCTATCCCAAAAGGATCTGGAATATCTGTTGCTGTTCCTCTTGTTTCAGATCCAAGACCATAATACTGTCCAAGAACACCACCTTGGCATAAGCCACTGTTTCTCATGGTAACAATACCTGATTGGTTATTGTTTGTCACATTTTTAGGTTGACGGTATCTTATAACAACCCAATGGTGGAGATAAGTTTCTAAAAGAGGTATAGGATTCCCTGCTTCATCAACTACTTCAGCATTGAAACTCTTGAGTGCTATATGACCTCTTGGAAACTCAACATCATAATAAAGTTTATTGGCAACTGATCCTGGACCTAGATCAAACTTGGGGGATAGAAAAACAGCTGATTTGATATTGTTTTCTTTCTTCACAAAAGCAGCTAATGAGCATGTTGTGCTTGACACCAAAAGTAGTAGTATTGCCCATAAGAACACCCTATCTTGAGGTAAAAAACTCATGTTGATCTGTTAGCATAATCTTTATTAGTAATCATGAATAAAAAGCAAGTATTGACTTCAGCAATACCAACAATAAATTCACTAACAAAGGAGAAAACTAAAATAGATATCATGTCATTATATGGACAAAAAAATGATGCTTAATAAGTACACCACTCAAAGTTAAGGTATGGCCAATCTGTAAAAGCCATAGATTGTTTGTTTTGTATGAAAACATAATAATAATAATAATGATACTAAGAAGAAGATAAAATTCATGAACAAACAAAAGCAAGCCTTCCTAGCTTTGATCTACATGCAAAAGTTCCCCTTTATGAAGTGGAAAATGAAGGAGTGTACCTGAAACAATAGAAAGGAGTAAGTAGTAACAGTGTGAACTAGCACGATTTAAACTACTAAACGATGGTTCAAGTATTAACCTTGAACCAAAGATTTTTATACCAATATTGGAGTTGAAGATGCTCTAAGCCATGACTATTACTGAATTTGGATACTAAATTTGGACTTTGTATGTAATATCTTTGAATGCTTTTAATCAAATTAATATATGGAACGACTACGGCTATTTAATTACTAGAAGCTTGGACTTTAATTGTATATATTTTTCATTTTTTTTCCTTCCCTTGTTACATATTGGTATGGATTCACATGTATTTTCAAATTACGGAGCCCGAAAATTATGTAAAAAGAGACGAAATTGCAAATATAATATTATTCTTTCTAAATTATATATTTATATAACTAAAACAATATAAATAATAATATTCATAACTAAAGATTTCGAAGGGGGCGGCTACTTTTCCCCCTTTAATCTTGATGTATGTCCCGTAATAATAATGATATTTTTTTTTAAATGATATTATTTTCGCTCTTAATTGTCAATTGTTTACTCAATTATCATTGTTCACTTTAGAATATATGAAAGTGGACCGAAAATAGAGGCAAGAAGATTTGATTTCCATTATTGGTACATGTGACCGAGACTGACACAACCGATGGTAGTTTTGCAGAATTCAATGACTTTTGCTCCATTTTTCCATTGTTTCGCTTTCTTTCATTTGATTTTTCTTCTTAGTATTTCACCACAAATACTCTATTGTAGTAGATTGGCTCCTCTAACTTTTTTTATTTTTAATTCTTGTTATCTTTCTTGGACAACTCGTAGGGACTTGCAATATTTTATTTTTGTTACCTCGGAGGACTTGCAATCTTTTTATAACTGTGGAACAGTGATCAAAATATCATTGTTTTTCAATTTTTTTACCTAAATGTCACGTCAATGATATTAATTCCTAATATGTCATGTGGGCAAGTTCACTGGGCACTATAGCAAACTCAGTTTGCTGATGTGTCACGTTTTTTGTGGACACCAAGTTCACTACCTGGAGAAGCAAACTTGGTTGCAATAAATGTTGACATATTGGACAAATTCGCTGCCACTTACAGCGAACTAGGTGTGCCACGTGTCTGACATGCACCTAGTTCGCTAAGAGGCCAAGCGAACTATGTGCCATATGGCACCACCCCTATAGATCGCTGGCCCATGCAGCGAACTAGGTGCCACGTGGCAGCAACTGACAAAGTTCGTTGTACCCTGTAGCGAACTTGGTGCCACGTGGCAGCTCCCTGCAAGATTGCTGCATGGGACAACGAACTACTTACCGAAAGTTACAGTTCGCTAGCCTTTGTAACGAACTCAGTGCTATTTATACCCCCTCCCCCTTCCACCTCCACTTTGTCATTATGTTGCGTTTTTCTTTCAAAGAACCAGTTTTTTCTGCCTATTCTTTATAATTTCACGGCATAATGAGTGAGAGTACCAATGATTTAATATGCATTTTATATTACAATGGGAGGAGATATTTTGGACCGAACGGTCAAGTGTTTGAAGGAGATACAAAGATGTTCTGCATGAGCCCCCGTTGCAAATATAATGACCTGAAGAAAATAATATACAAGAAGTTGAGATTACAACGGGATCAATTCATGTCTCGACTAATTGCTAGATGTGCCTCCGGCAACCCGGTGCAGTGGGTTGTTGTGGAGGTTGTGGAGGATGAAGATATCTCGTTAGAAGTTGACGTATTTCGACAGCATGGAGAGTCCTCATACACCGAGTATGTGGAACTAAACACTGGTGGAGAGGCAAACACTCAAAATTATGTCCCTAGCAGTTACTCCATAAACATTAATAGGGAGCCGCTAGTCAATCCGGAAGATATGCATGTGTCACCCCCACCACCATCACCCCCACTAACAATGCCTTCAGATGTGATTCCTGACATGTATGATCCCTCGTGGCATACTGATAGTTCCGAGGAAGAGGTTGATGAAGGTCTTGTTCCTGATAGTGACTCATTAGATACAGACGTTGATGGTGATTTTGAAATGTAGCCGTCTAGTGTATTGTGTGAATCAATTTCATCACCGAGAATTGTCGGAACGCATGACCCACCATCAGTGGCAGGTTAGGTTATTTACGGTTGTTTTTATTTTATTTGAAGTGGTATTAGTAATAACATGCGTTGGGATTAAACAGGGGAGGATACTGTACCATTTTGGTCGCAAATATCCCATTACACGAACATTAACTGGGCACACCCAGATCAGGAGTGTGATGAAATGCAAGGGGCACAAGTACCAAATTGGTAGATGGGTCAAGAGCTCTATAAGGACCATTGGGTTTGACAACTAATAACCAAGTTATTTTGTTCTTGTTACCACAATTGAGTTTTCTCTTGAATTTAACAAGACTTTTAGAAAAATATGAGCTGACTGCATTCTGTCTAGCAGATCTGCTAGACGCAGCAAACATATCATTAAGAGTCTGAAGCATCTCCACTCCACTCTTAACCATGTACACTTGCTTATGCAAGTGTTTGGAAAGACTGACAAGAAAATAATAGCGAACTACCATATTTGTCCTTTTCCAATCTGAGTATTGCATCTTTGTTTCCGTAGACGCATCTTTTGCAGGTTGCCATGGCCCTCGTATTGTCCGGAGTCAGGACAAATTTTAGCTTTCATGTTTTAGAACAATATCAAAATTTGCTTTGCACTTATTCATAGTTGGTACCATCTAGAGGTTTTTGACTCAAAATCATTTCTAAGATATTTTTTTGAAAAACATACAAGGTACACAATTACAAACAAATAATGCAATAAACAAATGAAGTGTAAGTAGATTCTCATAACTACTCATGTTTATTGTTAACAATCCTTCAGTTTTCTTAACAAGGCTTACGATGGGCAAGTCACTTGTAAAAACCAAAAGTGTTATTTGGGCTTTCAGTGCCATTGCCAGAGCCTCGATGGGAGGGTTAACAATTTTACCAAAGTTGAATGAAATTAACCATTGTTTAATTTCAAAATTATCCTTAGTGTCCAAGCATTGCCGACGATGGGCCGTACAATACTTTACTAAAATTTTGAAATTATTAAGATTTAATCTAGTGAAATTTGATTATCCTTATCCGATGGGGCTTCAGCTAACCATTTCACTAATAAACCCACAAATGAAGCTCACAGGTTTTAAAATTAATTAATTAATTTTTAAAACCTTCACTCATTCAACATTTTTATTTGAGAATTTTCATAAGCTTTGTTGAATTAATTGTTTAATTTCAAAATTGTCTTTAATAACTTAGTATTGTCGACGATGGGCCTTACAATACTTTATTAAAATTTTGAAATTATTAAGGCCCAATAAAATCCAATCACGCTTATCCGTTGGGGCCTCACATGATTATTTTATCGATAGGCTCACAATATGCCTGGATGTTACATTAATTTCTTAATTTAAATCTCCTCCCATTCAACATAAGCAATTTTTCCAATTTCCAAGAATTGTTTAAATGAGAGTAACCTTTGTTTGATTTCAAAAACTATGTAAGAAAGAGTGCCGATGAACGTGCATCACTTAGCTTATCTGAATTTTGAAATCATTAAGGTCCTAAAATCCGGTCATGATAGGCAGTGTGTGCTTCACACAATCATGATACATGATTGTGGTATGCAACAAATGTTTAACACATGACCATTTTAGAAGACCCACAAATTACTCGCAAAATAAATTATTCTCTTAGGAAATTTTTTTAATTATTTTTCTAGATTGAAATCATTCAAATAACTGATTTAATTATTAATCTAGATTTTAGCAATCATAATAATTATCATCTATGAGGATAATTTAAAATGAAAATAATTTTCATAACGATCATTAAATTATTAAATTCGTTATGCACTTATTTCAAAATTATATTTTCTAGATTTAAATCATCCAAATAATTGATTTAATTATTAATCTAGATTTCAACAATTATAATAAATATCATTTATGAGGATAATTTGGAATCAAACTAATTACCATAACGATAACGAAATTATTAAATTCGTTATGCACATATTTCAAAAATTAGAATTAATGTTAATGTAAGAATCTGCACCGTTAATTAAGGAATTTTAATTAATTAATTATGCAAAATTAGGAAATGATTTCATAATTGACTCTAATAATTATTAAGAGACTTTAATAATTATGGTAAGTGATTAAGAATGCTGAAAGTCGCTTTTCGGAAGAAAAGTGCAGATACCGGTTCTGCTAGTCGGTATAAATGCGTACCGAAAAAGTATCCCGGAAAATTAAAGTAAGTGCATGATAATTACTAGAATAATATGTAGGACTTGTAAAACGAGTTTCAAGTCCAAATAATGAGAACTGGTGCTAGAAACCGGTACTGGCTTTGAAAAGCGCGTACCGAAAAAGTGCTCAGAAAAATATTATAAAAATATGATAATTCTTGTAAAAATGTGTATTTTCAGAATCCAAAATTTGGGATTAAAATGCTAAGCGTAGCAATTAAATCTAATACTGTGTGTTTATTGAGTAAGTGACTATATATACTATCTTTAAGGGCACAATGCCCTAGAAAACAGAACTCCTACGTGGTTGCTAAGGGGCTAGTCAGCTGATACTCTGTTCTTGGAGGTTATCTTCTCCTTGTGAG